AGGTAAATAAAAGTCACAAGTTAACAGCACACTCAGTTCCTCAAGATATTAATATCAGTCCATTAATATGTTCCTCTACCACTGAATTTCTGATGGGTATTTTTTCCTACTTGTCCTAATGTCCTAATTTTTTCCTATAACACTCAGTGATAAGATGAACAATCAATATTGAAGAGGATCAAAATACTCTTTTCAGAGCTGCTTCCCTTCCTTTGTAGTTTGACAGCGCGTCCAGAATTCTGATAGAACGGCCAAACACCAACTGCAGGTCACGCCAACTTTGGTACACTCAAGACAGGAAATACACTTTAATAATTTTCTAAACTCCCAGTCACTTAATATTAACATTCACTGCTACTAACTTCATCCTAGTGAGAGGAAACTGTCCACAGCACAGCTACAGTCACTCCAATGCCCAACCAGTCTCGCAGAAGCCTCGTATTTTTGCACCGGCATTTCTCAGTTCAGAACCACGGTGCCGAAGTTGGTTATCGTGTAACTAACACTACAAGAAGGGAAAAAAAGAGAACAATAAACCCCAGGCTTACGGTCTTGCGTTCTCCATTGCGACTAACCACACGGATGATTTCTCCTGTAGGAATGTGTTCAATCTGCAGTTCCATTTTTCCAAGGTGAGTTAGTAAATCTCTCTATTCTTTACGGATAGTTCTGATTTCAAAGCACAGCAGCAGAACTCCCCGAGTAGCCTGGGAGAAGACCTTGACTAACTGCGGCCTTTGGTTCAGAGCCCTGTTGTGAGAGGAAGAGATGAACCTCTGTATTTATACTAAGTGTAGGTGCGAGCTGAAACAACAATTAAGTTCAAGACTAGTTTCCACTAGTTACAATGTGTCAAGACAGTTCCAAGAAGCCTAAATTTATGTCCGTGTTTATTGCCGCAAACTTTGTTGATGTTCCATTTTTGTCCCAGACTTAAAAAAAAGCCAAGTCGCTGTGGATGCCATTTCATAGGCATTAGCACGAAACAATCATACAGTAGACTTTACAAATCTACCAAGAGATTTTTATCTAGAAAAGATTCTTCACCTTCGCCTCTGAGATACGTGGTTTAGAGATAGAGCAACAGAAAATACCAGTTGCTCCCATGGTAACCACAGGAAGTTCTTCAAAAGAACTAAATCACTATTAATTGAATCCTTGAGTTGTAGTAATAATGACAAAGGAAATTAACTTGCACATGTTACTGCACAAAAATTCCTACTAGGAATATGAGAAAATAATCTGGTGAACACTGGTTTAAGTGCAATTACAGAGCTCTACCATAGCCACATCATCCATTAATGCACTATCTAGACCTATGACACCCTGTGTACCCCTCAATAGATGCAGATATCCCACCAACAACTGGGGAAAAAAAAAAGATCACCCTCAATATCAGGTATTTTAAGATTTGCCGTTAGGGGACAATTCCATCTATCTTCTTGGAATCACCAAATTTGAATTTTCAGCTCTACTACAAACCAATTCCAGATGATACCACCTGTCAAAAAAACTACCTAGATGTTAATCTTAACAAGTATGTGGCCAGTCAAGAGCAGATACAGAGAACACCATTCCATTCAGTAACTGAAAAGAAATGGCCTGTCACTGTTCTGTGTTTTGTACCTGGAATTACGCTTCCACTTCCTTTAGCTGTTATAGACAAGATTGTTCCAGTCCAACAATTGTTTCCTTGACCACTTACTTCCCAATATAGGGTTCTACTGAAAAAGAGGTTTTATCGCACTTTAAAGAAAAACATCACTGTCACTTCCCCAAAAGAACCTGCCCTACTCAGTAATAGGGAGCAATACCCAGCCCATCTTATCTACCCTTCCTATATAGAGAAATTACAAAGATTACTAGTCTAGAACATGAGGGCTGTTTAACTGGAATTATTTCTGTGATGCAGGTACCAGAATTACATGCAAAAAACCTCCTGAAAATGGGCTACAGGTGAGAACAAGAGGAAAAAAAGAAAAGGATAAAGAAAGTAGAAAGAGGCTGGAGAAGAAATATATGTTTAAAAGAGAGAACAAGATAGAAGAGGGAAGAGAGGAACATAGTACGGTCTCTGCTGAGACCAAGCAGTACACTTTAAAACCAGTTCCAGTAAAGCTTGTATTTGATAAACAATGCAGAAATGTTCCCTACTAGGGCTGATGTCTGTATTTGCTAACTGTCAGCTTCAAACAAAGCACAGTTAACAGGTTAAAATGTCTGCTATTTTATTTTTCTTCTTTTTGTGGTGCTAGTAAATTCTTATTTTCTGAATTTTTCTCACACCTCTGCATTTCCTCTCACCAGTTTGCATTCCCAGACCTCATACTTCCTCTGACTTCACTATTTTCCTCCAGCGAGTCTTCCAACCTGTGCTTCAAAACCTCCCACGCAGGTTCTCTTGCTACTTGCTAGATTGCACATACAAGACGTTCTTAGTTTTAATTGCAGAGACCTTGTAAGGGGACGATGACAGTTCCGCTGCAATACAGGGAGGTGGGATGTACACACACAGATCCATGACTTTTCCTAAGGTGAAGCAATTGAACAGACAAGTTCTGTACAGCTCCGAGTGCATCAGTTTCCAGAGTAACTCGGTGTGTACTGCACAGATTCATCAGGTGGTAAGTGCCATTGCCTTGGCTGAACAAAGCAGCCACACAAAGAATAGCTTACTCTGCACTACCGTGTACTACGCAACTCTCAACGTTTGAGCTTGCGCCTGAAGAGACACAGTTAAAGATAAAAGAAAGCAAGCTGTGCACATAGACAACTGGCCTCAAACACTTCCATCTTGACATAAAAATCTTTTTCTCCATTCTCTTGCATGGTTGGTATAAAGAAAAACAAACAGGTATAAGGAAACTAGGATACTATCTGCTTAATGCATGAGTTAAAAAGTTAAATAACATTGGTATTCACGCAGTGATGAGTACCAGGAACTTTCTGTGATCTCTGTATCTTGTTAGCCTAAAAGAAATTGCTTCATTTCAATCACTTCCAAATAGCGAATCCCTGTATCCAAGGACAGAAAGGGCCATCGGAAATATTCCCGTCAGTAATGCAGAGTTCTCAAAAAAGGTATCGTTTCCTCTCTCAAGGAAAACCTAATTCAAGCTTTGTTCGACTGGCCTTTCCACTGCAGTACATTAATTAAGCCAAGTTCATCTGAGTGTCACTTGGTGTCCGAGAGCAGAGAAGGAAGTAGTGGTAGTAGAAACAATAGTCTTTATCAGAACGTATTTTTAGGGTCTAACAAACACGCAAGACATCTTAGAAATATTTCCTGTTTACACAGAGCTGTACTATCTATGTGCAATGATACACTGCATATCCTGAGGTTAGCTAGGAATCAAGAGATATATGGATGTTAAGTAAGGCTATACTGGACAACACTCCTTGGTCGACATATTTCCTATTTTAAAATAAATTCTCTGACAGCAGGGAATTACAAAACGTTACCCTTAGACAGAAATTATTTGATAGCAAATTCGTATTAAAACATGAAGTACACTGTAGCAGATCTTTCACAAAGTCAAAAAGACACCTCAAATCATACTGTGAAAAAGTTAATTTAGAAGAACCTGTTCTTAAAAATAAGAAAGCAATTTCAGTGACTTAAGTATTTTCACAAGGAAAATATCAAAACCTCCTCAAGTGGGGGAAGGGGGACTGAAAATCCATGACAGAAGTCCATTTAATACTGGATTCATTTAAATGGAAAAAAGGTATCAGAAGAATCTGCTTTGTCCAAAAGAAAAATTGTATTTGTCCTTGCCCTTCTTTTGCAGTCCCAAGCCCTACCGCCTCTGTTATTACTGGCGTATTTCCATTCTAAAATACTGGTGTATCTGCACATTAAACATGACCAAAGTTTCTTGTGGAAAAGGTTGCCATGCATGGATTAATCCTCCCCACCCAAACCAATGTGTTCATTCTCAAATTAAGAGAGGCCATGTAGAACACTTCATTGCCAGAATTTATTTTAGTGGTAAATCAAAAGAAAACACATGAGTATAAAACCATTTCCAGTGATTATAACATCCAATTAAAGGTGTTTTAAGAAAGATAAATTTCATCAGAAATTGCATTATTACAGGTCATGGAATAGTCTGAAAAGCTACCATAGGTAACAGTAGTAAACAGAAGTGCTACTGTGTGCACAATACTTAAGAAAGAAGTGTACAGTTCTGTGCAGCATCCTACTAACACACAAGCAGATTCAATCGCAGCTGCTGTGGGCATTTTCAGTGAAGTCCTGTGGTTCAAAGGATTACTTTACAAAACACAGCTTCTGTGTCCAGTGACTGAGAGTGTTATCAGCTCTCGTACAACATTAAGGATCTTGAGTTCCTTGCCCATGTAAAGCGGCTGCATGGCTCCCCCTCTGAGCTACTCATGAACAGCAGATGCGACCTGATTAGAAGAAACTGGATCTTGGTCCGCAATAAATCGCCAGCTGTGGTCTGGAAAAAGACCACTGTTGTTTGAGCTCTCCACAGAGTCTCCTTGCATGGAGTACGGTTAATACAGTTACACAAGTTAAATCAGAAACAGAGCACGACTCAAGAACTGCAAGCTCTTTGCAGTTCGGTAGGGATGTGTCTGATGCCCTAACTGCCAAGAAAAGTCACGTATCTGAAAGATTCAGTGCAAAACAAATTCGTGTAAGACTGTACAAATGTGAAAACCGTTTAGAATATTGTTCCAAAGTGTAATAGGAATGTACAAACTGTAAACCTCAAGGCAGTTTTAATCCTTGCAATGAATACAGTATCTTCTGAACCTGCCATCACTACTTAAAACTGGAAACAGTTCCCAACACCAAGCATTAAGCTGAGATACAACTAAATAAAATTTACAGAGGCTAGGTGTCCTTAAACCCCATACTGCAACTGTCTAACCAGTTAACCTATGTTATAGTTTCTACACTATACAAAGATGCCCAGAAACCAGATTTTATACAGTGAACGACAGAAGCAAGTAACTGCAAAACAAATGTCCTATCAAGGTGTTAACTCGCTATCACAAAAGAATCCTGAAAAAACTAAGGCTTTGAGAAAAAGAGCAAAAAGGCATCCATTCAGTTCTGAAGTGATATTCCAGCATAAACACACTAACTTCCATTGCTTTGCTCTTCTACTTGAATCAAATTTTCTCTTTTCCGTCCATAACCAAGATGACAGCGATTAGTAACTAACTTCACTTACCATACACAGTAGGTAGCTCAAAGCTGTGTATCTAGAACATGGGAGACTCACAAGTGCTCTTTTCCGGCACTGCAGTCTGAGATTTTGTGGAATGTTGGTGCCTCTTCCAATCCTTTCTGAACATCTCCATTTGCTCATCAAGAAGCAAAACCATTTCTGAAGCTAACTACCTTTCAGGTTTTTAAAGGTACATGATGTTTCTTATTTCATCTCCACCCTCAAGTGCACAGGATACATTAAGGCCTAAGCACCTCCAGAGACAGAGAAATTTTGCAGACCGACTGCTATAAATTGAAAAGATTTACAATTTTGGTAGCATGGATTATGCCATAGGAAAAACTTGTTCCACTGAAATTCCCCATTTATAATTCCCATCATCTGTGTAGTAAGTGCAGCAATTATGTGGCAGGATGGTATCAGAAGTACTTGAACAGGGCTTTAGCTTTCTAAATCCAATATGATGACAGAAAATAATCGGGGCTAGTACCATGATCATTGCCAACAAGTGCTTCATCAACTATGGTCTGCTCACTTATGCTAAAGCATTTCTCAGCTTAAGCAAGTTCTTTCAGAAATTGTGGGATCCTGGTTAACTCCGAGCCACAGACTAGTGTCAAAGTGGTTTTATTTTGCTTTTTTAAATCAGAGGGAGAAACCCAATAGGAAAATTGCTAAATTGTTTTATAAAAGAAGAATTTCTAAAAGTCAGGAAAAGTGTGTTTTGATAAATGTCTCTCAATCTGGAAAAATTAGAAACAGAAAATCCCACAGTTATCAATACAGCAGAAGAAAAGGGATCCACTACCAAAGGAGAATTTATACACTCCAAAGATTTTGTTTTCATGTGACTTGTTGCCACATGTGTTTCCCAAAAGGTAATTAGCTTACATTTGAAAGGCAATTAAAATTTTAAAAACAGCTAACTAGCTGTATCTAATAAATAATTTTTAAAATAACTTCATTTAAACTCAAAATTTGGAAATCAGTGATTAAGTGGCTACAGCATAGTAAATATTGTATTGTAAATAAAATATCCTCTATGAAAAAGGAGCAAGCCTAAAAATCTGTTGCAGATCGCAACTTCCTTAGGTTAAATCATTGTATTAGAAATGTCTACCATCTTAAAACATACAGCATTCAATAGGTGCTATTTTTACGGTTCTCATCCAGTGCAAGAGAGTTACTCTCCCCATAACAATAAAAATATCTGTTTCCACAATAAATTATCTTCTATGAGCTTACAAAGGTTCTGAACAATCCTACCTGTCTTACTTGCACTTCTAAGAGTAAAAGCTTATAATCACTAAGACACAAAGAATCATCTGACTCCTGAATCAGGACCACTACATGCTCTTTCTGCCTTCAGAACTCATTATGTGATTCCAGATTGTCAGGTGTCTGCATCCAACTGTTCTCGTCCTGTGTCAGATCCTTTTTGATTGATGTTCTGTTAGGCTGAATCTAGAAGAAAGACAGTAGATACAAAATAAATTAACACATTCAGAAACACTGTGTTGCTCTACACTATCAATACACCATTATATAAAGATGTCTTAGATACTTGCTAGAAACTGAGAAAATTGGAAGTGATGCATCTATGCAGCAATTATGAAATAAATAAAAAAAAGAGTAAAAACCCACTAAACTGATATAAAAACATTAAGTGCCATGCAAAAAGAAAGGCATATGGTGTGCTGTATCCACATAAAACTGACAACCATCATGCAGAGTTTGTAGTAGATATTAAGCTCAGAGACAACTGAAATACTGGACTCCGCAATGCTTCTCACCAATACAGAAAGAAAAATATGAACTGTATCATTGAGCTATACCAGCCAATCCAGCAACTTCCATTACCATATCCCCTAAGGTAACAGAGTTTCACAGTCTTCTAAAACCCCTTCATCCAACAACAACGCAGAACTTCCATTTCAATCATTTTACGACACATTAGCACAGCCATGACAGCATGGAAAATTATAGGCAAACAAAATTGTTTTGGCAAAAAGTGTTTGTGCAGAAGCAGCAATGCCTGGTTGCTTCATCTAGTCTGTGCAGGTTAAGTCATCCTTTCAGAAATTACACAAAGAAGCCTGTTAAGCAAATAACTTGAGTTCCAGTTGTCCCGTCTTTCCTAAATTCAAGTGACTAAAATATACAGGAAGCACTTCTGTGCAAATCTACCACAGACTGGAACAGGAAGCACTTCTGTGCAATCTACGACAGAATGGAGCACAAAAAGCTCACTTACAATCTGTCAGAAACCTGGCAGCATTTAAGTTGAGTTGAGTTCTCATCTTTGCAGAAACTAGGGACCTAACTGACAGAGCCTGAAGTTCCACAAATGAAAGCTAAGAGAGAGAAACCTGTCTTATTTCATTACAATGATGTATTGCAAAAATAGCTACTCAGAGTCTAAAAGCGTATCAGCAAATTCTTTTACAGGATGTTGGCCAGCACATATCCTTTTTGCAATTACTTCTGCTGCTACCTCCCCCAGGATTAATACCACTGCACACACTGATGTTCAGATGCACATGAAAGCAAAAGAAATAAAAATCACATCGATGTTAATAAAGGTTCCAAATATATTACCTGAAAAGGCTGGCTGATACCAACTATTGACTGCAAATTATTGCTATAATAACAAAGCAAAAATTCTCCTCCCACATCAGGTATTTCTGCAGCACTCATGTAAACCTGTCGACGAGAATAAGAACAGGGAATGGGCAATTTCCACAGAGAAAGAAGCTTACAAAAAAGCAGTCTCTGCCATTCAGGACACCATAAAAATCGGTATTTACTATTTACAAGCAAGTTTTTAAACATAAGCTAAAAAGGACAAGGACAGAAATAACTCATGAAACCATCTGAAAACTAAGTCAGGGAGGAAAAGCGAATATCCTTCACCATGTTAGCAAGCTGACTTGTTCAGCAACTGAGAAGAAACTCAGAGCTGTTGTAAGGGAAGGGGCAAGGCCACACAAGCAGGAAGGAGGGAGATCAGATGCCTCCTGGTGGCAATAAGCTGTAACATGAAAGAGCAAAGCAAACCCACCACCTCGGGTTTGTACTATCCTTAAGATCCTAAACTGCAGCCCACTGCATCCTGCTAAAACAATGCTCATAGTGCTTAGATTTTTAAGCTTAGTGATAGGAAAGCATGAAATCAGAGAAAGTTTGAGATTCAGAATATTGATATAATACAATTTGGGCTCTAGTTGTAAACTCGATGCTAACTTACAAGATCTCTAACAATAACTAACTGCTTTTCATTGTTGCCTGGAAAATCTCATCCATCCTTCCATTCACTGCATCTCCAAAATTAAATTTTAATTTCTGTTTGTTCAGATAAATACCTCTGGAAACAGATAATTTGTATTAAAAATAGGTTTGGTTTGTTTGTTTGTTTGAAATCATTTTAGGTAATCACTACTAGAAAGCTACATAACAAAATCAGCAGTTTTTAAAGAAGGACCAAAACACTCGATAGTTAAAATGAAGAAAAGTCTAAGAAACCTGAATATGTAGCTGCATTAGATATCTGGAATTAAGTGAACACACTTATTCACACTAATTCAGCCTTCTGAAGTAACATTAGGTACTTACAACTGTAACAAAAATCACACAATAAATATTTAGGATATATTGAGCAACTTGACAATCATATGAAAAAATGGCCAGTAACTTACTTCAGTGCCAGAAACAGACCAAAATATAAAATGACAGGAGGTTTTAATACAAGGAGAAGTTACTACAGGAATAAATTGCTTTTTCATCAATTCCCTTAAGCAGTATGATAGCATCTGAGAACATGTGCTAGACTACCTGGAAATTAATAAGGATTAGGAAAAGACACTTTAAACAATAATATCACTCCCCATTACCTTCAACTGGGAAAGAGGATACAGAACCCATAAGAGGAAGGGTATATGGAACAAATGGATCTTGAACGCTACTCTACGGAAAACTACATTAGAAAAAAATATGATTGGCTTACTTGTTTACTGTCTTTGTTAGAAGAAATTTCATCGTCTTCTACCCAAGCATAAGTAACATAGTCATTCATGTGCCTGAAAGCCACCTGCAAAGAAAGATGCAAACCATCAGCCTTCTGAAGGAAACAAAAATCATAGTACTTGGAAAATTCAGAGTTGTGAGAGAGGCGTTTACTACTTCACCAAAGTAATTAAAACACTTCACTTTTAGGATCAAAACGTTTTGGGAGCACACACAAATCTTTTGTTTTTGAAAGGGTGCGAGTGGTCTGTTCTCTCACCCTTCCACTGACTTTTATTTTTGTTCTTTCTTTGCTGTATAAACTTGAACTGTAGGCATTAGGAGAGGATAATTCCTTTTCACAGCTTCTGCACCATTTTACTTAAATAATCACATTATCTTAGCAGAGAATTTAAAGGGTGCCAAAGAGCTTGCATGCTATGCAACTAAATTCCTGGCATGCAGAAACTAATGGCAATAAACAACTATTTCAGAGCGTTTTGCACTAGCAAGAATCACAATGTCCTATGACAAAAGACTATCAACTACCTCCTTCAGTCATATTCACCATCTTCATTAGAGTAAAGAGCCACAACATGGTAACATTACCTTGAAGAGTCCAATCCAGTCCCAAGCACTGCTTGGGAATTCAGGCACTGCAGAATAGCTGATTAGAACATCATGTTCTGCACTCCACTCACCCTCAGGATTCAGCGTGACCAAAGGGTCTGATAGAAGAGGCTTCAACTAGGCAAAAGAACAGAATTTAAAGTCAGTCAAGCCTGCCATTCTTTCAGTTACTCTTTTCAAGTTATTCTCTGCCACACCTGCTGTGGGCTGAAAGCAATTTGCTGCCTTCGCTATAATCAGAATGAAACAGAGATTGTGACTTGCAAAGTTTAGAAAACCAGCTTCTGTAAGGCAAGACTTAGTAAAACGGACTTTTTCTTAACAACATAACTGGGACAGCACCTCAAGCACAAAAGTTCCTGTAACAGGTTTGTGATCGCTGATGCCATAGCTCATGTGACTGATATAGTTACTCAAAGTAACAGAAATTGTCTGTTCCTCTTCAGAGAATTCGCCTTCTTTTGATGCATGCTGGCAGAGATTTTTTACTCTCCAGAGAATTCTATCGGTCCACGCTGGCTTTCTTTTCTTCTCACTGCAGAAGTGTAAGATAAAAGTGAAATGAGAAGAAAAACAGTTGCCAAAAGCTAAGATTCTGTGCAAAATTCCACTCAAAGTTGAAAGACTGTCAGATACTTATTAATAAAAGAAGGCAATCACATCCAAGCTTCATTTTACAGCTCTGTGTAATATGCTTTACAACCGAGGTCTCCTTAATTTGAACTCAACTCCATTTACCACAGGTAAGTCTCACAGGCTTCTGAAGAGGAGTAAAATGAAGGGGAGAAGGGCATTTCAATGGGTTAGTCAGCTTCATACAGGAAATGATACTTTCTCCTAAAACAGTCCTTAAAAACATGCAAGAAAATCGAGAGAATACAGCAACTGCCCCAAGCTTCAAATGTATAGTCATTCTGAGAAACAGGGCATAAACTTAAGGAAGATGTAGGAAGAGTCTGAATGATGTTTGAAATTATTCAAAACATTTGAGAACAAGTATTTTTTAACAACAAAAACCAGACAAACTTAGGTAGCTTATACTAATCACAGGTGACACAGCAATGCTTTATTTCAAGTCTTCTGACTTGTACTAGCCTTTATTTCAAGTCTGTAAGCTACTGCTGTCTCATAAAAAAAGGCTTTAAAAATTCCGTATCAAGAAAGTTGCGTCTGCAACTGTGCAATACATCAAACTATAATCGTAATTTAGTTTCCTTTTCTACCATATCAATAACAACAGAAGACATGAGCCTTTCACGGTTCTCTCTGTCGTGGAAGACTTAACAGCAACTCTCTGTATGTATGTACCCCTTCAAATTGAAATGGAGAAAAGATCATACCCTATGGAAGAGGAGTTAGAATGGACTGGATTGAATTATAAAAGTTAATGAGCAGGATGTGTAAGGAAAACTGTCAGTTTAATAACTTTGAATATCAAAATCATCATAAACTGGAAATGCCATTTAGTTCAGTATTAACATACTTGTGTTTTACCCCTTCCCATATACAAGTCTGACTCACCTTTAATAAGGTGGAAAGATTTTAAATGACTAAGGGGCCATATCCCACTTACTCCAGTAATTATATAAACCGACAGAAATCTTTATGAGCTGCCATATGTCTGCTCTGCTGTGCAAGAAAATACCGAAAGAACAGCTTAAGTGAATACACTATTTTAGAGAAAATGGCATATTAGATGGGAAACAAAACCTCAAAATCCACATTCAAAAAGTACTAAAGATAACAAAACACTGTGTGCTTCATATAAAACACACTTCTCAAGGGTGCGTGCCTTGAGGTCTACCGATTACCCCCCATCTGACCAAAATATCTCTGCTAGCTTTAACAACAGCAGAATGCACACAGTACACGTAAGCATACTTTTTGTTCTTTAGATGAGCCAATGTAGACTATGAAGCATTCTTAGAATGTCTAGGTTTGGATTATTATAAATATTTTTTGTTAACTGGATTTCCTACTGGTCCCATTATATCTCTTCACACTCAATTAGGGAGCAAAATGTCTTTGGATACAAATGAATAGATTTCCAATATTAAGTGCAACAGCAGAGTAGGTAACACTACAGCTTTCAGACAGGTTCAGAAAATCCCTGAAGAAAATCAGCTGTCATCTGATTTTCAAATATTTCACAAAAATCAAATCAAAAGCTTGGGAATAAGCATTGTTTTGATTCTGAAATATTTACAAATCTATGAAATCCAGAAAGTTCTCTTCTTACTTAAACCAAAACAGGGACTTCTGCTCTCTGGAAGTAAAGAAAAAGATCAGTACAAAACCCCTGTTTGGACAGAAACTTATCCTTCTGTTGAAACATAAGACTATTACTAAACAATAAACTTTAGTGTCAGAGAAAACTTTGGAAACTTAAGCTACTCCATTTTCAACTTAATATAAAGACACATTTACACTGCTTTTCTAATACCAGCAGTATCAAATGGAAGGCTTAAATAGAGAAAGAAAACAAAAATTGCAATTACATTTTTCCTTTTGTTCATTTCTGAGAACTAATGGGCACTTTTAGTATTAAAGGACAAAAAAGAAGTGGCTTAAACCAGCAACAGTTTATTCTGTTAATCTAGTCTTTCCAAAAAGAAAGCTGGGTTGTTTCACTAATTTCCTCACACAATTCAGCAGACTCAGGCTTCTTCAGTCAGAAATATTCATTTATTCAGATCTGACCACTGAACGAGCCTAACAGAATAGCACAATACCCCCAGTTAACCAGCACATTCAGGAAATTCAGGTTTGCTTACTAAAGTGATATTTAGTCAAGCACTACACTCACTTTAATATTCCATGTCTAAACTCATCTTGTTATGCTTTTACCTTGTATCATATACATCCGAATAAAGGTCAAACTTGTAGGTGGGTTTAAACTGCAGAGGACCCTCTATGAATTCCTGAAGAAACGCTTCCTTCTTTTTTGCCATATTTAACTGCAGAAATAAAAAGTAACTTTTAAAGATTATGTTTAAAAATCAAGAGCTTAAAGGGCAATTGGGAAAGGAGCTGAGAAAGCATCTTCCAAGAACTCAACACGTCAGTCAGTACAACATATTTGGAAAGATAAACTCAGAAGTGCCTCTTTGTTACTGCCAGAACTCTTGACACAATCTGTTTATAAAAGTTTCTACTCAAAACAAATTCCAGAATAAGCTTCTCTTTAAAATAACTCTTGGAAGAAGAAAAAAGGAGAAATTAAGGCAAGGAACAATTCACAAGCCATGAAGTTCAAAGAAAGCTTCAGTGAAACACGAGTAAGAAACTAATCAAATGCAGGAAAAGTTTGCAATTAGTTGGGGCTTATGACTAAGAAGAGAGAGAGCAAACAGCTCAATCTGTTCCACCTCATGACTGCTCTGAATTTGTGTTCTTTAATAGAAATTAGAAACTCAGGAGGTAATGTTAACTACCATGCTGTTTGTATGCATTAAAAACAAAACAAACAACCAAACAAACCCCCCAAACAGATTAAGACAACATACCTGGTCCTTTTCCCACAGCAGATTGTAACGCTTGTTATTTATTGATTCTCGGACAAAATGTATGCCATAATCTGCTATCCGGAAATTTAGATCTCCAAACCAGAAGAGAACACTAAAAAAAAAAAAAAGCAGCAGAAAACCAAGGAAGATTTATAGGAATCCATTAACACAAGGGAAGAATTCAATAGAATATAAGCCATTACACTAATTAGGTGCTCTAATCACTTATATTACTTAACCTAAACAGCTTAAAGACAAACATTAAGTAGTTACAGATAAGCTTACACAGGGATAACCTGCTGCTAAACGAAAAAATTAAAGGAATTGAAATAGTAAATTAAGTCCCTTGCATTCTTGCTGCTTACTCATTACTGCCTGGGTATTAACTTATCGCGGAGTCTCCTAACAACTTACATCTCTATTAGAGACAGATTTAAAATTAAATTTTAATAGTAGGTAAAATAATTCACAAAATTCATGACCTATACACCAGTTGTTATTACAAAGCACTGGAGTGTATTATCAGCAATGTTTTAAACAACAGGACAGCTGTATTTTCAAGTAAATTAACTTCTCTTTGAGAAATCCCTATTTTCAACATTTTGTTCAACGGTGGATACCCCAAACTTGATCTTATGGAAACAAAACTTTTATTTTAATGCCATTTGTAATTTCTTCTTAGAAGATGACAGTAGGTGATTTGGGACATGCCCATGCACATAATCAAGAAAATGAAACACATTAAACTGAAATATCAAACAAAAATTATTTTGAAACTCACGTGTCATCCATTTTTACCTAATTTTAACGAAGTCATTAACAATTAAAGTGACATTACATAGCTGTTACAGGTTTATCTGTCCTGACAGTTTTATGGGTATAAAAAAATTTTACATATTACTAAACTAAAACATTTCTCTCAACCCTTTTTTAAGGGGTTCTATTACCGTCTTTAGACACCAGCACATGAAACCAATGGAATGCACAAATAATTCCTGCAGAATTAAGCTCAATTAGTGGCCCAAATCAGGTTTGGTTTGCCATTTTTTTTGTGAGACACCTGAGGGAAGTATAATTCATATAGCTACAGAAATCATCAATCAAGGTTTTAAATGCTGAGAAGCCCTCAGCCAGATACTAAAATTACAACAGGAATAAAACCAGCCCAAAACATAACACAAATCTCCCCAAAGAAGGGAGGAAGATAAACATTTAACAGTGATTGAAAGGATTTTTGATATAAATGGGCTTTAGCTTCTAAAGCTCTCCAGCACATCACATGTGCAGTATATACGCTAACAAATTTAATCTAGTTTAAGACCAGAATAGAACAGTCCTGCAAAACAGATCTCCATCTTTCAGGTTATCTCTTCCTCCCAGGATTCAGGGTCAAGACTAAAAAGACATTTAAAATAAAAGTGATGGATGAAAACTCCAAAACCAAAACTCTTCAGTGCATGAGTTTACCATATAACAGATAAAAACAATACAGGCCTGAACAACTCACTCATGATCCAAGGTACTTGGAATATTCTCTCCTTCAAACTGCATTTCCAGAATTTTCTCAAAGTCATCCAGTCGCTGCTCTGTGTTCTCCATGTGAGCTGGCAAGTGGCAGTTCATGAAACAAATTGTATGACCATAGAGGGACATGCGAACGGTGACTCCTCCTTTGTTCCCCTGGTATGGAAGATTAGGAATGTTCTCTGAAATTACAGTCAACACCTGCAAGCGTCACTATTATCACCACCTGTAATTTTTTAAATCTTGCTATTTAGATTTAAATGAATACAATTTCTTCCTACATAAGTTGTTGTATATCAGCTAATAAACTAGTAAAATTACAGTCTGTGCTGCACACTTGCATGCAAGGTTCAAACGAATGAATCTCACTGCTTGTCAGTTTATTAATTTTTAAGTAAACCCTGCGTCCTCTCTGCCACCATGAAACCATTTAGAGGCACACACCACCATAAGCATAAGTGACCAAGGCAATTAAGTCTCAGACACTTTCTCACCCAGTATCCATACAGGCCTGTGCGTGTGTAGTGGGTATGAATATCCCGTATGAAAGGAAGGTGGACATGCTTCACAAAGATCAGCAGTAGTAATCCCTGCATGCGAATGGAGGAGAGCTGGAAGAGATACAAAAGAGGGAATGGTCATTTCCAGGGAGGTATTTGCAATTCTTTGGGTCTATTTCATAGGAGCTTTTAGGCGAAGAATGACGTAGCAGAAGAAATGCAATTCCCTCGCCAAGCCTGGCTTCAGTACTGTGACACAGTAAATGCAGACGCGTTTCAGTGCTGTAAAGAATACCTTCTTACGGTAGAGTTTCTTATAAATAATTTTGATGAAACTCTCAACTAATTAACATTAGTTGTAACGTTATATTACAAATCTGAAGTTGACCTCAAAACACATGTATTTGCCCAAACATCTTTAAAGACTTCTGCCTCACCAGCCTCTTGTTTCTACCTTTAAGCATCCTGATCACAAAGAACCAAATCCTTGATTTTTCAACTATAACCTTATAGTGCACACCTACAAGTCCTCCAGCAGGAGCAAGTTTTTCAAACTGAAACATCCTTCAGCATATAACTAATCACTCTAAATACCATTAAAATGCCTAAAAAGCACAGCAGTTACTCCTAGGCATTCACAAAAACAGTGAGCTGCAAACAGCAGGAACTCTTGCCTGCAGTGCCTGTAGAAACTGATTTACCATACACTTCCAAAGCCAAGATGCTTAGGGACCCCATAAGACACCGTTAAAGCTCTCAGATACTGAGGTTTTTCTGTGGTTTGGGTTTTTTTGTGTGTGTGCATGGAAATAGTCTAATAAAGATGTTCTTCATTAAAAATTTATGAACTTTACAGTGTTCCTGGCATGAGACACAAAACTCTTTTTAAATGTTTGTCTTAACGATAATGATACAATTTAAAATACAGACATCAAAATATATTAATTGTAGTTCAATTTTATGCTGGATGCACTCAGAGAAAGACTACATTAGAATGAAGCCTAATATTAAGAATAACACTGACTATACAACTGCTGGAGAAGTACACAAACTCAGCCTGACATTTAGAACAAAATTCCTCCTTTCTTTGCCTCCACATCTACACAATTAAATGATTTCAGAATATATATTAATGTTTTCATTGTCCTTGAACCCAACAAAATGCTACACAGTATATTGAAATCATAGAATCATAGAACGTTTTGGATTGGAAGGGACCCCTAGAGGTTATCTAGTCCAACCCCCCTGCAGTGAGCAAGGACACCACTAACTAGATCAGGTTGCTCAGAGCCCCGTCCAACCTGGCCTTGAATGCTTCCAGGGATGGGGCCTTCCCTACCTCTCTGGGCAACCCGTTCCAGTGCTTCACTACCCTCATTGTAAAGAATTTCTTCCTTATATCCGGTCTAAACCTACCCTATTTTAGCTTAAAACCATTACCCCTTGTCCTGTCACAGCTGGCCCTACTAAAAAGAAACGATGGATTGCAATTACTAGATAATGCATAAATCTTTGTACCTGATCAGACATTTGGTGTAACTAGTATTCTCCTTTCCATATTATGTTCATGAGATAATCAAAATCTTTCAGTCCCTTTATTATTTGCTGCATTTCATTCTACTGTGGGCCAGTGTCCAGACATTTCTCAAGATCCATATGAAACCTTTTCTCTCTGTAGGTCTTGAACATCGAAACACAGCAGATCCCTCCTCTGCTGGAACTAGCGCTAGTCCCACCAATACATAGCGCCAAATCAAGAAAAGACCTTTCATAGAGGGGACATGGTTCTGTTTATGGTGGAAGAACTGACTGACTCCAACTAACTTAACACTCTGAAAATGGACCCTGTCACTGAAGGGACAGAATGCCCCAAGGATGACAACTACCCCTCTACACCCAACCTTGTCACAGGTCAGCAAAGAAGGGGTAACGGGTCCTCTCCTCCTTAGCCAACTTCCCAGATCAGCCCTAGCATAAGCTCTCCCTTCTGCCTGTTTCAATTGTGACCTGGCCTCTTATTATTAGAGCTAATCAAGTCCTGCTGAAAACCATTAGGTGGCAGCATCCATTCATTACTGTGTCCAAAGTGACACATTTATAAATTAGAATTCAAAATCAACCACGCATACCACTAGGAATTCTTTTTAACTGTCTGTATACAGGGCCTGAATGTCAGCCCACAGCCAGATTTTGAATGTTTATCGGCAATGACTTACAGTAGAATGAACAGGTTTTTTTTTCTTTTTCTAATTCCCAATGGGTCCTTTGTTTTGTTTAATTACAGTTAAAAGAATGGCACAACTACTGAGTCTGATTAGCATGCAGATAATACCATCATCTCAGCAAGATCACCGTGAAATAATGCTTGACTTAGACAACCACTGCAACATTCAAAAGGCTTTTAATATCTCTTTATTAGAGACATTCAGGATATCCTCCTATGTTTATTATTTGCATTATTAAAATAGCTAGTACTTTAGCTGATTTTATGCCCCAAATACTACCAAAAATCTTGTCAGTTAAACTACCATACAATGTTCTAGGTCTTCAACAAAAGAAAGTCCTCAAAGAAATATATATACTCACTAAAATCCTGTTTTACATATATGCAATTTATTTTCACCTGCCAACAAGTTGGAAAAAAAAAAAAGAAACCTTACCAATCTTAACAAAACTCACTGCCATCGCTTGGGAAATTTATAGTGAAAGCAGGTACTTAAGCAGACTACATTAGAAGCATCACAATATAGTTCCCCAATATTGCATAGAGCAAAAAAAATTTCTACAAACAAGAGAGAGACAGAGATATTGTGGCCACAGGAAATATGCTGTTGGGTGTAAGTTTACATCACATTTCATTTTAAATAATCTTCATTACTCTATCCTTGAGAATGTATTCTTATTACGACAGGAGTATCTTTCTGTTCATTGCATGGTTCTGCAGCACTTACACCAGCTATTGCCAGTATATCTGAACAACTTCCTCCTTTTTGTCATCTGAGCTGTAAACGCATCAAAACTGCCCAACTATTCCAAATGAGAAATGAAAAATCGTATGTCCGATTTGTACTGCTAAAATGATATTTATATAATTTTGTATATATACATAATATATTATATTATAAATAGAGAAAAATTAAAATTGCCTTTATCAACAAACCAGGAAAACACAAATGTGATTAAGAATCACTTCTAACATACGTGTACCTACAGAATTGACTGACACCTGCAAAAAAATACCATCAACTTATATTTTATGGAGAGTTTGAGGGGAAAGAAAATCTAAATGGAGCTGAGGAAGACATTTTCCTTCACTGCTGTGATACTTAAGAGATATAAACAATTACCTTGATGTATCCCAATGGAGACAACACAGTCATGAAAAAAATGCTCCATGGATCATCAAATGCCATGTCACACAGAAAATTTGTGATTCTTGAGTTCACCTCCTGTAAACTGAACACATTGAGATTACTCACACTGTATCTCCTGGTTTTGACAGAATTCATATAACCTTTTCAGAACACAGACCACAACATCCCAACAAACCTCTCTCTCAGCCTAAGTCAGAAATTTCTTGCTGTTCAGTTTCTCATTTACAAGCAGTTTAACCCATCCACAGATCTAACACATCTAACACCGAGAAAAACAAAGTTAAAGGAGCTTATATACACCTGAAGACACAGTTTAGGACCATGCTAAGCTCGAGATATGTTATGACAAATAACCTGACTGTCAGGTCTTTAAAATTCCAAGAAAGTCTGGAAAACATGGTGGCAGACTGTGCCTAATAAGCTTGCACTAATTTCTTTAAAACATGCTGAATTTTGGATGACTTTCATATCAAAATGAATATGATTCTATGTGCCAACAAAGAAAAGGGCAGCCAAAACCTTTTTGTGTATTTAGAAAAAAGATATTCTGTATTTTGTTACAAAACAACCGTAGAAAGGAGAGAAGAGTCTCTCACTATAAACCGTCTTTGTTCTAAGTCAGTAACTTGCAGTCTTCACCTGCTGTTAGCAATAACGTTAAAGCACCTCCTAAGCAGTGATGCACTTCGCGCAGTCCTCCCAAAACAGACAATAAGCTGTTGAGCCTTAGCAGTTTTGCAGTAAACTTACAAAGCAAGTTCTTTAACATATACTTACCCTATAACATACATATCCATAGTTGGGCCCAGTGAATTGAGCTGAAGCAAACTAGTGACATCAGGAGGTGGAGAAGCTGTGCCCACATTCCAGGTAACTAAGTGTAGCCTACAAACAAAAATCACACAAAACCAATGCTAAAATTGAAATGTGAACAGGTAACCAACCCAAAGAGCATCTAATTTCCCGACAGAAATTCTATCTACAGAAAACAAAGGCTTTCTGTCAGTTTTCATCAATCAGAAATCTATTTATTAGCTAGCATTAAAAAAAACCCCTCAAAAACAAGCAAAGAGAAGAAACAAAACCTGAATTCTTGCCACTTATCCTTCAGCTTTTTCCCCCAGATAAGGAAAGCTTCATCTAGAGTGCGAGACACTTCTTCATGAATTTCATCATCCGAACTGATGTCCTCTACACAAGCCATAAGCTGGGCCACCCGCTGACGGAGCTGCAAGCGGCCACTGGACCCTGTGCTGCTGAAACTTGCAGACCGGCTGCGGAAGTTGTGCAGGCTTTCTAAATCGTTTAGGGAGAGGGCAGCTGAATCTTGAAATGCATCTTCACTACTGAAGGATGCCATTTGCTCAAAAGAAAAGAATAACTACGGTCTGAAGGACTAGCCCATTGAAATCCTAAGTATAAAAGAAAAAGATGGCTAAGGGTCTTCCAGATCAAGTTTTCACTCGTGTGAAATTCAGCATTGCTTCTAATGCAAAAGGACAAATGTAGATGCAGCAACGCTGAAAAGGACTGTAGCATTACCGCCACCACACTCAATGGGTTGTTACAAAAGCTGCAATCACATCCTACCTCACACAGCGAATTGTTTCTTCATAATAGATTTAATGTGGTTAATTCTGTAAGCTCAAGGTTTAAAAGAATTTATTGTTTATTTGAATCAATCATGTGCCTCCATCAGTGGGCTACTAGAAATATAATCTCCAGCTCCCAAACATACAAATACATGGTTCTGACCTAAGCCAAGCAAAGCTAGGGCTCCTCACGAGCACTGTCAGAAACATCCGCGTGTCACAGGACTTGCCTATTGTTTTTTTATACAATGGTAATTTCAATATCAGAGCTTCTAAAAAGGGATTCACTTCACCATCAGTCTTGTTACAGGCCAGACAGACTTAAAAAATAAAGAGCTGTTAATTTTCCATCCATCTTATGGTCCTGTAAGGACCTTATAAACCCTGACAGTTAAATAGTGAATCCCACCAATACATCCATTATTAGGGCCACACAATACACACAAGGTATGTGGAAGAGCTGGAAAGTGACCTTGCATACCAGAGTAAAACAATCTATAATTTCTCTCACCAATAGTTTCTCCTTGTAAGATTACAATGAAGTCAGCCAAAAGCTCTTCTAACACAAATTTCTAAGGGGAGTGGAAAAAAGGTATGTACGCGGCAGATCTAATTCTGCCATCAGAGATATATCATTTGGGAATGCTCTCCAGTTACTAATTTTGTAAGACAATTATCTGATTAAACAAAACTGAAATAACATTGAAGTCATCAGCCGTTACTGACAGAAATTAAATTCCTCAAAGTGCCCAGTATCCACACTACCCGTAAGAACACAGGAAAGGCTGCAGTGCTAGAATTCACACCAGAAGTAAAAATACTGGTAAAAATTTCAAGAACGTCCTTAACGATTCGGTTTCACTGTAGGTTATAACTACATCACCAGGAAAAACTTAATAGCGAGGAACATATATGCACCTGCAAGGCAAATAACCTACAGCATGATGGAGGCCCAAAGGTCTCCCGACACACCTGGCTATTTCACAAGGCCAGACACGCACTGCCCACGGTAAGGAGGGAAGACCAGAGGGATACCAAAGTTCATCTGATGCCCCAAGACGGCCTTCAGCAAAGGGAGGAGGATGCTGCGCAAACTGTTCTGGAAGCTTTCAGTACCACTGGAGCACAGTCCCTAGTATGTTTTCTGCAAACACATTCCCAAATACAAGCAAACTAATGAAGTCATTATTTAACGTCACTGACTCCCGCAATTATTCGATAGCAGATAATTTTTTAGGGTCACAGTGTTTATAATACTGAGTTAAGATGGCTTTTAAGTTCTTTGAGCAAATACTACTGTTTGTTGGTTGGGGTTTTTTTTAATTTTTCTTATTATAGACAGCTACTCAGCTACCCTTTAAGTAGCCTTCTCTAGTGAACCAAGCCCACAGTGCGTGACACCGCAACGGATCACCACAGAAGACGCAGTGTGAAGATGCAACTTAAAAACACCGTAAAAGCAGAAACAAAAGATTTATTTGTAGTAGCTCCTTCCTCCTCATGACAAGTGGGGAATTTGAGGCACTAGACCCGTTAATAGCAAGCGCGGTACATCTTGCCCTCTTTAAACGTAAGTAGGTCTCTGGGAAGTCCTGAGGACCCAAACAACACTCGGTTAAGCCTCCCTGAAACGCCTCCAGTACCGACGCTTTCAAATCAGAAAATCAGCTTTTCTTCTCTATTTCATAGGACTACGTAACATCGCCAATTACTGTAACTCCCCGTTAATAAGCAGAAACACAAGTTTCGCTAATTCTCAGCTAATTACCTAACGACTTAGCTACTCTTCTCCCGTAGTCGGAAAAGCCGCCCTCAGAACTGCGCCTCACGCCCAGCCGCCCCCGACCGCTCAC